CCCCGCTGCATCCCAAAGGGTCCCCGTGCCAAAGTGCCTCTGCTGCACCCCCAAACCATCCCCCTGCACCCCAAAGTGTCCTCTCCTGTCCCAAACTGCACCCCTGAAGCACCCCTCAGTGTCCCAAAGTGTCCCCACTGCATCCCAGTGTCCCCGTCCTGTCCCCTCATGTCCCAAAGTGCCTCTGCTGCACCCCCGAAGCACCCCCGAAGCATCCCCCTGCACCCCTAAGTGTCCTCTCCTGTCCCAAACTGCACCCCTGAAGCACCCCTCAGTGTCCCAAAGTGTCCCCACTGCATCCCAGTGTCCCCGTCCTGTCCCCTCGTGTCCCAAAGTGCTTCTGCAGCACCCCCAAACCATCCCCCTGCACCCCAAAGTGTCCCCTCCTGTCCCAACCTGCACCCCTGAAGCACCCCTCGGTGTCCCAAAGTGTCCCCGCTGCATCCCAAACTGTCCCTGCCCTGTCCCCTCCTGTCCCAAAGTACCTCTGCTGCACCCCCAAACCATCCTTTTGTGTTCCAAAGTGTCCCCGCTGCATCCCAGTGTCCCCATCGTGTCCCCTCGTGTCCCAAAGTGCCTCTGCTGCACCCCCGAAACATCCCCTTACCCCCCACAGTGTCCCCTCTTATCCCAAACTGCACCCCTGAAGCACCCCTCGGTGTCCCAAAGTGTCCCCGCTGCATCCCAGTGTCCCCGTCGTGTCCCCTCATGTCCCAAAGTGCCTCTGCTGCACCCCCGAAACATCCCCTTACACCCCACAGTGTCCCCTCCTGTCCCAAAGTGTCCCCCCTGCACCCCAAGTGCCCGTGTTGTATCCCAGATTGTTCCTGCTGCACCCCAAAGTGTCCCCTCCTGTCCCAACCTGCACCCCCGAAGCACCCACCGGTGTCCCAAAGTGTCCCCGCTGCATCCCAAACTGTCCCTGCCCTGTCCCCTCCTGTCCCACAGTACCTCTGCTGCACCCCTGAAGCATCCTTTTGTGTCCCAAAGTGTCCCCTTGTGCCCCAAAATGTCCCCATGCACCCCAAAGTGTCCCCTCCTGTCCCAAAGTACCTCTGCTGCACCCCTGAAGCATCCTTTTGTGTCCCAAAGTGTCCCCTTGTGCCCCAAAATGTCCCCATGCACCCCAAAGTGTCCCCTCCTGTCCCAACCTGCACCCCCGAAGCACCCACCGGTGTCCCAAAGTGTCCCCGCTGCATCCCAAACTGTCCCTGCCCTGTCCCCTCCTGTCCCAATGTGCCTCTGCAGCACCCCCAAACCATCCTTTTGTGCCCCAAAGTGTCCCCATCCTGTCCCCTTGTGTCCCAAAGTACCTCTGCTGCACCCCCAAACCATCCCCTTGTGTCCCAAAGTGTCCCCTTGTGCCCCAAAATGTCCCCATGCACCCCAAAGTGTCCCCTCATGTCCCCAATTACCTCCACTGCACCCCTGATCCATCTCTTTGTGCCCCAAAGTGTCCCCTCCTGTCCCAAAGTGTCCCCGCTGCACCCCAAAGGGTGTCCACCATGACCCCTGGTGTCCCTTGCATCCCAAAGTGTCCCCATCACATCCCAAATTATCCCCACTGCACCTCAAAGTGCCCTTGTGTCCCCAAGGGTCCCCAGCCATCCCCACCGTGTCCCAACCCCCCGCCGTGCGCTGACCTGCCCTCCTCGTGTCCCCAAGCGCCGTCACCGCGTCCCAAAGCATCCTCGTGCCCCTGCCATGCCCTTTAGTGTCCCCGTTACGTCCCAAAGCGTTTCAGCTGTGTCCCTTACTGTCCCTTTTGCGCCCCGTACTGTCCCACTGGTGTCCCAAGCCGTCTCCATCACGACCCAAAGTGTCCTCACCCCAGAGGGGGTGACTCTGGGTGACGGGGGGGCTCACATCCCGCTGGCACCCGCTCCCCACCCTACTGCTCTCAGCACCCGTCCCCGCTGCCCGTGGTGACGCCCGCGGTGACACCCGTGGTGACATGGGCTTTGGCCATGCCAGCCAGGAAAGGTGTCCCGAAGCCCAGGGGACGCGGTCACCACGGTGGTCTGGAGTCTCACCCCCTTGGGGATGCTGGAGTCCCCTCCTCCTCCCGGGGGACGTCTTGTCCCTAAGGGCCACCAGGAGCCAAGGGGCACCACGGATGTCCCCAGGGATGTCCCTGGGATGTCCCCACGCCCTGCCAGCAACGCCTCGTCCCCGTGGCTGAACGGGCTCTTTATTCGGGAATACGGCAGTGGGCTCCGTGCCGGACACCGGCTCCGGCCATGGCACAGCCCGGATTCTCCCTGCCCACCCCACCGGTGGCATTGTCCCCACGGTCACTGCCCGCCCGGACACCTTCATCCTCTGCTGGGTCTGTGCCGCTGTCCCCGGCGAGCTGGGGACCTCGGGGCTCCATCGTCCCCCCACCCAAAAACCCTGCGCACCCCCTGGGGCTCAACCTCGGTGGGGCCGGCCCCAGCCGGGTGGCAACGGGGGACGCGGTGCTCGGGGTGTCCCCAGCTCCGACACCCATCCCTCGAGCCGCGTCCACCACGCGGCCCTTCACGGAGCCCACGATTGCCACCGCCCATCGTCCGAGGTGACACGCAGCCAAGTCCTTCTTCCCCTGAGATGCTGATCCTTCATGTTCCCCTCTGCTGGGCTTGTCCCCACGCGTGTCCCCAATGGGGGGGTGGGGGGGTTTAGCCATCAGGGAAGATGTAGCCATACTGGTTGAGGATGTGCTCCACCACCTGGTTCTGGAAGACCATGTGCATGGCCATGTTCCCCTCCTCGCTCGCTGGCCGCAGCAGCGTGGGGCCGAAGACGATGGCGATGCTCTGCACCGACATGCGGTTCTCCTCCTTGTACTCGATCACCCTGCGGGGACGAGGGACGGTGTCACCCGGCATGGCCCCAAACCCAGGTCCTGTCCCCCTTCCTGCCACCGCATTGGGTTTGGGGGGGAGTGAGACGGGTGTCACCTGGAGAGGTGGCGGAAAAGGACCTTCATGGTGTCGTGGTGGGCAGGTGGGAGGGAGAACACCAGGTCACGGACACACCGGCCCTTCCTGGTCGGGTCCTGCATCTCTGCGAGGAGGGGGGAAGACATGATGGGGTGCTGGCTCCGGAGCTGGAGCATCTGTCCCCATCCCTGTCCCCATCCCTGTGCCTATCCCTCTTCTGATCCCATCCCATCCCCCTCCCATCCCCATCCACATCCCCTTTTCATCCCCATCCTCATCTCATCTCATCTCATCTCATCTCATCTCATCTCATCTCATCTCATCTCATCTCATCTCATCTCATCTCATCTCATCTCATCTCATCTCATCTCATCTCATCTCATCTCATCTCATCTCATCTCATCTCATCTCATCTCATCTCATCTCATCTCATCTCATCTCATCTCATCTCATC